AGTCGCGCTTATTTACTCTGCAGAAGAATAAAAATCGAAAACACCTTGTAAACTAAATTAACACCATAAACCAACACCATAAATTAGATTTTTAACATAAATTAGAACTAACACCATAAATCAGATCACTATATATGTAAACACTATTATTTATAAAAAAATAAAATTAATTATATATTTACTTTAAAACAAGTTTTGTTGCTTTTTTTTTGTTGCTTTTAATTTTTCGAAGTACAGGACATTTTATTTTTCTTGTGCGCGATACAGCGCACGATTACATCTGATTAATCTCATTTACGGGTCTTATCTGTTGTCTTGACTTTTATCTACGATATGAGCAATCGAGAGATACAAGACCAATTAAACTGCGGAATGTTTGGCATTTGCTCGCGCTAAAGACTTGACTCGATGCGCCACTCGGAATTTTCGGAGTGCATCGAGTGTTGCATGAACTCGAATCACCCGACCGTGTCGCAGGATACTTGTTGAATATTCGAAACAGGAATTCGATACGCAGCTGTGACACGGTAGGATCTTGTGCAATGACTTGTTCAACACACAGCGTGTAATCACTTTCAAGAGAACATTCTGAGCTTAACAAGGATCAACACCCGGCGAAAGATAGGAATGAATGCGGGTACATTATCGCTTGAGAGAAGTAGTGTCGGTGAATGTGAAAAATATATATTGAGACAACTTTGTTGTCGACGATAAAAAAAAAAAAAAAAAAAATTAAAAAGAGAGAAAACAGAAACAGATGCATTTTTGGCCGCGCTAGCGTTGACTTGTTCTACTTGAATTGGAAAAGAAAACTACATGAAAAAAATCAATTGATTTCGTTTAGTGGAATAAGCATTAAATGCGCTTGTTGTTTATTTCTGCAACACTCACTGCGACTGTAGCGATGTAAATCAGTGAAGATACAAATCAGGTTTATTCGGAATTCGCACACATAAAGAAAAACAATGTTTAGCAATGACATGTGCAAATTGTGTGAAAGTTACTGCGATAAGATACAGTTAAATGTGTATATACACGCACGAGACACTTTCGCAGTCTTTGTCTGTGTTTCGCAAAATGAGGAACATTATTTGCAACAGCTGACCTGGCGAGCCTACGGCTCGTATTAATGAGAAACGTATTTGTAATACGGTTATTACCTTCAGGGCCGCGGTCTATTTAACGCGTGCGGTTTAATCCGTAAGTCCGATGGTTCGACGCACTTGGGAAATTCATAACGGGAACGGTCGCGCGATTATCATAAATATTGAAAACCGCGAGAACGCTATTGATATCCGTTATTATTTGGAAATACAATTAATATTCATGCGAGTGCGCGCGACCTTTGTGACGAGCGAAAATATTAGCATGAAAGCGGAGGCGGAAACTCCATGAATAGCTTTTTAATATTGTTACCATATAATCGATTTATGACTCGCGCTCCCCGAAACGACCGCGAACTTTTCTTTCGGAGCTTCGTCGTCAAAATAAAGCCGCGGCCTAAATTCACGTGGCAGCGCGAGAACGGCGAGCGTGTGTTTTTCATGCGGAATCAGCGAGCGGATTGTCGGGCAAAAATCCTGTCTTGCAAATTTTTTTTTTAACGAAAGTTTGCGACAAATACGAATAGAGTAGGAAACGGGCGAAGTTTTATCCTCGTGTGACGGGTAACAATGATGAATGAATCTGTACGTTTCCGTGGAAAATGGGGCTCTTTATAACCAAGCGAAGTTTCGCCTGAACAACTGTCGTTTCTTGATCGGCAGTAATGTTCACTTCTCGAGCGAAGTTTTTCTCGCTAGATGACATCATTTCTTACCCCTAATATAATCCGTCTCGCAATAATCTTTCTTTACACAATATAACAGTTGAGATAGTTTTATGCAACATTTTTTATTACTCGCGAGAGAAAGAGAGAGGATATTCGCAAAACGATGTCGGATATGAAAAACGAGCGTACTTGAAATAAATTTCTTGTGTCGCGGTTGAGTGTATAAAAAAGTTCGATATTACTCAAATAAAACAATTTATATATACACTTACCACGACAGGTTCTTTATTATTATACACGCGTGTTAAAGTGTTTGTTTACTCGAACGATCTCGAAAGACTACACCGATTAAAATCGAAAATAAGATAAATATACTTTTCCTTCAAATTATAAAATCGCGCTTGTTTTTCCGTCTGCATGAAGATGTGAAAAAAAAACATAACGCCAAGGAATTTATTTTTTTTACGTGTATAAAATAAAATACACAAATTTAAATACCAATTTATATTCTTACAAAATCATGAACGATTATTTATAGATGTAAATGCGCAATTAAGATATTATTTGCGTTGATATCCCGCAATTCCCCGCGATTCTTCTCATCGCGAGATTGCACCATCTGAAATATACTCATTCCTCGATATTGACTCATGCTCCAATAAGAATTATCGTCGCTCGAGTAACTATCATTACCTGAGTGCGCTCTCGCATCGGATGCAACGCTCTACGCGGTGCCGATTAAATAATCTCGATGAAAAAAACGTGACTGCTCAAAGAATTTCCCGCGAAAGAATATATCTCTCATCGCGAATGCGCGCACCCGCTCTCGAGGATTCTGATATCACGTGGAAAACGTGGTTTTTAGAGAGTCATATTCGCAGTCTTTATTAGAGCCGGCTAGCGAGCTACAGTTATGCACTCTCTCTCTCTCTCCTCTCTCGTGAACATGGTCAATACTTCTTCGAAGGTCACCGTCGAGAGAGAATATGAGAACCATTTCTCTCTCTCTCTCTCTCTATCTATCTATCTATCTATCTATCTATCTATCTCTGTCTCTCTCTCTTTCTTTCTTCTTTTTGTCATCAACCATAAAATGTACAGTGTCTACGCGGTTATCACACGAGTCTACATTAAACGAATACTTCTAGTGCTCACGTGTATACGAACGGTTTTTACGATCGTTGAACGATCGAGAGACAGAGATCCTTAATGACAGATTCCTTGATCACTCCACATTGTCAAAAAGAGTTCGTAAATTTACACACAAAATAAAATGTATAAATAATTCATAATTAGTAATCAATTTACAGATTTTTGTGTGACGTAACGTGTAAATTTGCAAATAACTTTTATTATGTGAAAATTTGCATTACTTAATCGTGGGTGTAAATATGTTAAACAATTTTCAACGACGCGCACGCGCGGATTGTTTTAATTGGAATTCACAGCATGTTCTTAAGTTTGATTAAAATAACTATTCTTTATACACCATGAAGCGCGGCAAGATTCTTCTTCCTCTTCTTTTTTTTTCTTGGGTTTTTTTCTTCTTTGAAGAAAGATAACTTGAGCTTTACAAAAATATGCAAAACTTGCGCAAAAAGATACGGAGAATTTCGACATCTTTTTTTTTAAACCTAAGAATAGATAGAGATGGACTCTAAATTTTTTCTAAAATCTGTCACGAATGTTATTCTCTCGTGCAGTTCTGACACATTGTGCAATATTGGCGTGCTGCCAAATATTCGTGACGAGAAATTCAATTTCCTTTGAAAGAGCCAAAGCTTTCGAAAGAAATAGCGTCATCGTTCATCGACATCGTCGCGATACGAGATATTTTCCACGTATATTATACTTACGAAACGTTAAAGTTTTATTGCGAACTAACACAGTTTTACGCAATTTTGCATAATTGCGGAATGTAGTTTGACCACACCGTGTCGAACCGCAGATCGGTAATGTTTTGATGTAAATTGCGTACGAAATATTGGAAAGCGATGCTAAACTGAAAGCGACTGGTAAACTGAATGTGTGAAAGGCGTGTGTGTTCGTGAAATTCATTAGATTCTATTCATTATATCCTCTTCGGGAAAGGCTCTTGCCTTTGAATTACTTCAAGTAGCAAGCTCATCACTAGATCGTGAATTTCCGCAAATATTGTTAAAGACGGATGCTTGATTGAAAATTAAGCGCAAATTTATTTTCGTTTCGCTCAAAAATAAATTGATTTAGCGAAATAGACGGGTTATTTACCTTTCCGTAGTATATAAGAAGTTGTATATACATACGTATTTCCATTTGTGTGTGTGTGTGTGTATGTGTCTGTGTGTTTTGATTGTCTCACGCGGGAACAATTTTATGAGAATTACATTCTTTTTTCTAACCACAATATTGTGTCACTCAATTTATATCCCGCAATAGATTAATGGTTTTATTTATCGGGTGACAATCAAAAAATAAAAAATATAAATATATATATTTATATATAATTTTGTTTCCGCGATTTAAATCATATTTTGAAATCGATTACAATACGATATAATAAACCACGATATAAAATAACTTTGTTAAAATTCACAATTGTCGCTGCCAATTACTTTTAAGTATTTATGTAAACAATTAATATTTCCCTGCGATATTATAGCAAAACCTTTTTTTCATTCAAAAATTTTTGAACAATTAAGGAAGAAAAAAAATTGAAAGTTATTGTTTCAACACCGTTTGAAGTTTGTTATCGATAATAAAACATAAACTTTTTTTGTTATTTAAAAATTTACAACTTGTATTATGTACGATACGTAATCATCGGTGAGAATTTCACATTTCTACAATCAGAAAGGACGAGACATTACATCGCAGATCAAGATAGAGCGAGCTTTGCTGTTTTCCTCGAATGATTTAACGAGGCATAAAAGTCACGAACGCTCATTCACCGTTCGCGGTCAATCACGCCGATCGATCATAACGACTGATCGTCGTCGATTATCCAACGATACGATGTGCGTCAGAGCGCAGGACGTCGCCGTAGTACGACGCAACAGGAAAACCGCCGCGGAGAGAGCGCACTTTTTTCTATCGCGGGAAAATGCAGCGGTCACCTGAACGTGACGCGAGTCGCGACGGCGATGGGTCTGCTGAGCTGAATTGTTTCGAGCTCAGTTGCTGTCTGCGGGCGTCAGATCGTATATATTCCCGTGAGTATTTCAGTAGAAAAATTGATAATAACGCATACCTGTTACGCCGTCGTGGCGTTGCAACGTTCCTCCGTGCAATTCCTCCGCAGCGGGGGAGCTCGTTCCTCTTCGTGTGTTATTCCACTCCGATGTAACAGGTGAGAGAGAGAGTCTTGCCGCCTTCCGGATACGTTCCGGTGTCTTGTCGGAAGAGCTGAGCACACCTGAACCTCCTTTCAGACTCGAGCGGGGACAGTGCGCGCGCTTTAGTCAAGACCGACGGACGCGGAAGGCTCGCGTCGCGACGCCGCTCTGACGTGACGGTTCGTCGTCGTCGTCGACCCGGCCGTAGCGGGCTGCCTCGCACCCTCTCTTCCTGACCCACCACCACCCCTGGCTGCGTGGTCCGGCGCGCAAGCGTAACTCGCAGGTGCGGGGGAGAGCGCGCTCCCTCACGGACACCTTCACGCACCTTTCGAGCAAGGTAACGTAGGTGTCACGACCTCGGATGTCGCAGGCGAGCGTCCAGACAAATCCTCGCTAGGTTGTCCGATCCTGTTAGTGTTTTTTCTCATTTTCGTCGGAGAATTCAGAGTGATTTTGCGTTTGAACACACGTATAAAAACAAGTGCATACAAACACAAAGCTAATAATCAGTGAACATGTATAAAATGTAATATTTATTAAGTTGATAATTCGGTAAATTATACAGACTTAAATATTCAATTTATATAATGTTTTGCTAATTATTACGCGTGTGTACGTATAAATTTACTTTTTATATCTACACGCGCAAAAAATATTTTACTGTGGTTTGCACGCAGTTTGCGCTAATTTTTTAATTAACATATTTTCAATATTAACGTATTTTATATAATATTATGAGAATATCTACACGTAGTTTTACTTTAATACAGAAATTCTGAATTGTGAGAAAATTTCTCTTCAAAGTAATAATTTATATTCAAAACCAGACACCTAGGCCGAGTTTTTAGCGACTGCTCTCTCGAAGGAGTTCTAAAAATAACTCGATGTGCAAGAGGGACGAGTTCGATATCGCATATAACGAAGTTTGGATTTCTCTTATCTCTCACCAAACAGAAATCTTTGTGAAAATATGTATAAATAGAACCGAAGCCAGGACAACTTTGCGCGGAGGAGTATACTACGCGCACATGTTAGACACACTGAGATTTATGTAGAATGGCACTTTCACCGACTCGCGCGTGGGTGTCGCCACCACCCTACGCGCTCTACTACACATCACTGACACGAATAGCGTGGGGGAAGGGCACGATTCGAAACAGCGCGATTTCCACCCCACCGATTTCGTCCGTCAAAATCCATTCGCGTTTTGCGGAAGACGCATTTATAAAATTGTTGATACCGTCGAAAAGCCAGCTCGCACGAGCGAGCGTTCTGATACACAATTTTTTTTTTCGCAATTCTTTTTGAGTCTACGGCTTTGATTTTTCACTTCGATGTTTGAAATCGCGTCGAGTATAATTATTTCTAATTCAGTGAGATTTGAGCGCGATTCGACTGCTTAATTATATATTTCGACCTCACTTAATTATATTTCAAATGTGAATCTTTGTACAACTTTTTTTTATTAATTTACGCGCGCACATTTTTATCTGAGATACGTTTCGCGAGTTTTGTTTTTAGAAGGGAATAAGTTAGATCCGCATGTTCAATCGCGCAAAACAGCTATTGTTAGATCAAGCGCTTTCAATTGCGGTTATTTGAAAGTTACTCCGCAAAGCGGAAGTTATTATGTGAAAACAATTGGTGGACCCCCCGAAGTCAAACTTCTCAAGCGCGGGGGTAATTTCCAACAATTACTTGTTCACATTATTATGTACCGTACTAATGAAATTTCAAAACATGAAATCGTGTTATAGGTAGTCAAGGGCAAAGTAGATAAAAGCGGTCTTTTGCCACGCGCGCGGTTCGCTCGGATTTGTACGGTCAAAGTGGATTTCTCGGACACGTTCCGGCAGAGGATTCTTTTTGAGTTTCTTGTAAATGTTGTATATACGATAAGTGGAAAAGTAGGTTGCAAAAAGTGGATTTGCCGCTATGTGTGGTATGGTATAACTTTCGTTCATGATTGATACAGTCCGTGTAATCCGATTATCTCATCTCTTCTGTTCGCGTCGTGATAAAAGTCTGTTAAACGATCAGAACGAGATTACGACGGGAGAGGAAAGATCGTATCTTCGTGCAATTTCCTACTTTTAAAAACCGCCATGAATTTCACGATGTTGATCGCTAATCGACGTTACGCCGAAGAGGACGCGAATTCTTCTGTAAAATGTAAAATATTTATCTTTTTGCGCAATATTCTCGTGGATGGAGAAACGTTCAGAAAAAGAGTCTGGCACGATTCCCACTTCTTGAGAAATCCCCTTGCAAATCTGCAACTATATTTCTTTGGCAATGCGATGAGTTGTGATTTATCCGTAATCGTAGAGTAAATTGCAAAAATTCTAGCTATAGAAAAAAATTATACATATTTTTATATATATATCATTTTTCGCGAGATAATTTTTTCTAAACCGAGTGCATTTATTGTTACATCAAGTTCGATTAACATACGAATATCAAGCGTAGCAGCGTGTAATTTCTGTGTCGTTATTATAAATTTCCCAAGTGGGCGTGAATTATAAATGAAACATGTAAATTGACTTGGAAACTAGGCGATAAACAATTGAACGTCAGGCGTGTCAGAGTGATGTGAGCATTTATCGAGAATATTTCCTTGCGAGAGCCGAGAATGGCCTGTACAAAAATAGGTAATATTTATTTGATTGATAAGAAATCAGACGAGCTGAAGGACATAAATTTGTATCTGCAGCAATAAGTTATTGATGTGTTGCCCTTGTGACAAATGTTCCATTCTGTTCGCAAAACGGTTTAGTTTGTGTATGGCTCAGAGAGAGATAGAGAGAGAGTCGTCGTTTTCCAACCGTCACAGGAAGGAAGAGAAGGTACGGACGTCCGGATGATCCGGCCCGCGGATCTCCGGGCAGCTGCATCCCTTCTCACAGTGTCAGCAAATCCGGCGATAAAGATAACATTGTGCATAGGAAGCATTAGGCTTTATCCTTTTAGAGTTGTCTGCATCTCTCACGCTGTACCGCGGTCGCGTTTCTTCTTAAACTACAGTCACTTTCCGAATATTCACACTTTGGCAAATCATAGCCGCAAAATGCGATATGTTTGTTTCGCAATGTTTACGCTCTCTTACTTCGTTGATGTAAATTGCGAGATAAAAAATCTATCGCCACATTATATTTTCTCACATTAATAAATATGTTGTACAATTTAAAAAAAAAAATATGATTGTTTACTTTGTGTCGTTCCAGCGAATAGAGACCGTCATCGACATGAACCGAATCGATCGATCGATTTATATACACTCGTGACATTTCAATTTTCTAGATTTAGATTTATTTAATCGACCGGCAACGTCGCGTCGTTCTGTTGTAAAATTTATTTATTGTGCGATGAGTACCGCATGAAGTATGCTGCCAATGTTTAATTTTCGCTACGTAAATAACACGCGTGTGTGTGTATGCGTACATAAATATGCACTTTCCCGCGATCCCGCGTAGAGGGATTCAGCAATTTAAATAATCCTTGTTTCTTGTTTTTCATATCATTATTGCGCTGCCATAATAGGAGGGACCGTAAATTAATTACATTTTTGGTCCGTGTATTTTGCGCGAGATGAAATATTAACTATTTCTTCTGACAGGCTTTTTCACTTTTCTCTTAAAAGCCAATATAAATTGTGCCACACATACGTGGCAATATAATTGTGAAAACATTTTTAGAGATAGTTTTAGAGTCAAACAAATTTCGAATTAAAAAAAAATGAGACAATAAAAAATTCGTAATTGTGTGCACAAGTTAAACAAATAAAGAAACTTAATTTAATGATTTTTATATTCAGAACGTTTATCACACGCAAACGAATAAACGATGAATGTTACAATTTATTCTGTTAGAAACAAAATATTTAATTACTGGAAAGCTCGATTCTGTTACAAAAAAAGTGCGGAAATTTATTCAGGTATTAAATCATTATTTTTCACAAACGCAATTTAAGGAACACTTGCTAAACAGTTTTAGGCTCTTAAGTTTCAAACTTAAATAACGCGAAATTTAAACGGTCATGAGAGCCTGACGCCAGATGTTTGTTGCGGGATAAATATATGTATATGTATATTTATATTACACTCACGTGTAAATTTTTTACACGTAAGTTTGAATTGAAATTTCAATTCCTAAATTCACATACAGGATGTCATACTTGCATTACGTAATGAAAACTCCCCGTTTATCCCCTTATCTAATTTTAAAATATTGCGAAAAAAACACCTCGACCAGGAGTCGAACCTGAAATCTCTTGTGGTTTTCCGTGCCACAATTTAAGAAAATTTCGCATTTACGCGCGTGATTTCATTGTGAACAAAATTCTTCGAAAGGCTAGTGTCGGTAAACTTACGTAAAGAGCTTTTTCTCTTTTTTTTTCTCTCTCTCTCTCTCTCTCTCTTTTTCTCTGCTTCTTGCGCTTCATCATTTTTTATCGTCATTCCATTATATATTACCTATCGAGCAGTCGCTGATTTTCGTCTGATGTTTATCGATCTCAAAGAATGCGCCGTCGCGCGTAGCCGCGCGCAGTCGTCAATATTCTCTCCGTTCTTCGATATTCGAGAAGACTATTGTATCATTACGGCGTCGTTTTTCGACTTGCGGTTCACGATTCCGAAAACACTAAAATTCTCAGGTTCTTTTCGCTGTCGAAAATTTTCCTTTCTTCCCTTTTCTCTTTCTCTCTCTCTCTTTTTCTCTATCTCTCTCTCTCTCTTTCTCTTTCTCTGTTCGCCGATCGATTGAAACTCCAATTCCGAACGTCGCAGACGTCGTATCATCGTTTTGGTAATAGTTTGCAAAGACTAGATAAAGATTTGTCCGAATTTCTTCTCTTACATAAACACATTTCGTTGCAAAATTTATGCATAAGATCGGTAAAACTTTCGAACAAACTTGCTTCGCTGAGGCAACGGATTTTTACTTTTTTTCGAAATCCATAAAAAAACCTCCGCTTTATCGCAGAATATTCTTTTTGCTTCGAATGTTGAAGTGAGAAAATACGGGCGTGTACAAAATATCGCAATATATTTTTATTTAAATCACGCGTATAGCTCACGAGACGCTCGATTTTACATTTCTCGAGAACGTTTGCGTTCGGATCTTGACGATCATGA